GAAAAGGGAACAGAGCTTCTTGGAAGCATACAGAAACGGACAGGATGGATCCGCAACGTGCCCCCGGTGTCAGACGATCCCTCAGATATCATGGCGCAACTGGACGCTTGTTTCAAAGTATGTCGGCACGGACGTGTGACAGACGTGGTTATGGAATCATCTTTTTAATCGCAGCATAAGAGATGCTTCTACAAGCTGTAGACAGGTAGAGCGTTTTGACTAGACTGTGGGAAAATAAGTAAGCATTTAATACCTCATTGTTTTGTCATTCACCTAAGAGAATACCCACCACTGCGTTGTACCACCTTTTCTTAATACATTTAAAAATAATTGAAAAAAAATTAGGTGGCAGGCGGATGATGCTTTCGTCACTAGTGCGATGCTGATGCTCACCATTTGGGGCTTTATTCCCGACGTTGTTTGCTCTCATAATGGATTGATAATGGATGTTGAAGTCTTAAAAATCTATCGATATGGAAGCAGCGTCTGAAGACTGTATTTATAAATAAAGCAATAAGTAGTTTACTCTCGTTAGCATCGAGGCACGCTTTGTCAGGCATGATTTTGTGTCTACAGTTCGTGAAAACACAAAATCAACCGAGTTGAATTCACTTGCATAAGACACCTATGCGAAGTTTATATGGGGGGATTTCTCAACCGGGTGAAACTGGCAAAATTGCTACAGGCATACTGCCAGTGCAACGCAGAACTCGGGTGTGCATATACAAAGCACAGTATTGCTAAAGTATAACTTGTTAGTTCATCAAAAGCATGCACTATTTGTGAGTTCTGTTGATGAGTATTTTTATGTAACTAATGCGTTCCCTAAGGCAGGGTAATTGGGACCGTGCTGTTGCGGTAGCGAGCGAAGTGCAACACCTACTGAGACCACGGTTAAATTAGGCTCTAACGAAATGTCAAAAGGTGTGGCTCCAGATGCTTAAAGCAGTCAGTGAACATATTTACTTCTGAAATTCGGCGGGGTGCAGCAACAAGACATAAACTCAACATTCAGTCACCAGTCTACCAACTGCTGGACTCCGAGCTCTACTTAATTTAAGGGGTATCTCCATAGTTTGTGCAATGAACAATGAACAATGATTTATCACGGGATAAAAGCAAGTGCTTGACACGTCCCGTAGGATGGCTGCGGTGAATATGATGAAATCAAAATATGTCTGGGTCATCTATCGAACATCTGCCTAGATGAATAGTTTGATAATTAAAATCAGTATAAAATTTAAAAAAATTATCCAGCGTAAACGTTTAGAAATACACTGGGGTACAGTGATCGTTGAGGTAAGGTGTGAGAAAAGTAAAATATGGTTACTGACTTAGGTCCATTTGATACATAAATCCTGTTGAAAAACATGTAAATAATACACCAGATTTTGAGCTGGTGTAATGTGTCATCCTCAGCTTACATATATTCTTTGCATTAATAGGCCGATATACATTGGTTGGATTCAGCTGTGCCACACACGGATTTCATCGAGAGGATTTTGTGGTTCTTCTCTGAGGCGAAGCCGCTTAGTCTGAGCACTGGTTAAATGGGTCTACCATGTAATTAATAGGTTTAAATTGATTTGTGTATACATATGTGACTCCAATTTGTGTGATACAGAATTTAACACTCCTCTAGAAACAGACAGTCACCTGAACGCTGTTTCATGGATTGCATGCCGCTGGGTATTTGGCGAATTCGTCATGACACACTTCACTAAGATCAATGCACAAACATTCATTCTCCTCAGCTGCTTCAACGCCGAGATGAGCTACAACAACTGAAGATGCAAGATTTGGAACAGAAAATAACGGATCATACACTGGAGCACACGAAGCAGATGCAACAGCTACGCCAGGAACACAGTAATGAGTACGCAATATACATGCTAGCATATCGATGCAAAACTATTCACGATGAATACATGTCATGGCTAGGTGGTTGAGCAGATTCGATCAGTTGAGACATTTGTACCGGCTTATTCGTACTTATTCATTGTGTGGAAGGCAGTTCCTACTATTTGCAAGCGAATTTTTGTGTCCCAAATGTAGTCAAGTAGTGGAATTTGTGTAAACCGCTGTACTGTGAAAGACACATTGAGGACCCAAACGTTAAACCTAATAATAACAGCCACTTTGGTGATTTCACTGCTTGTAAGTTAGTGTGGTGACGCTGTTTTAAGAGTCAGAAGAACTTGTAGGAACTGGCTTTAATCTTGCGCCAGAAAAAGGCATTAATTCATAGTACTGACCATATAGATACGTCGATGGAGACTACTAGGGGTAATCCGATTCAGAGCAATAGCAAAAAATTGACCTGATTTTATCTTGCCCGTTAACGACATCATCTCTTCAATAGACCCATCTTATCACCACCAATAATAATATGTATTTGAACTGTTAGGCAATAGTGCACATCAAAAACAATCACTGCTGAACAAGAGTCAGTAACATGTGCACGCCTCCCGGCTGCTCGGGGTGTACTTGAAGTTGCAAGGAAATAACCACTTGTATGTATCCGTATCCCTATGTGGCCCATGTGTGCCCCATGCTGAGGCTGATGTTGCATTCTTGATGCTCCTTCACCGCAGTTGAGCTAAACCAACTTACACTTAATCTAGGTCTTTTAAGCTGGATAAAATTCATTCCACTTTATTTCGTTTGTTTTGCCTACCTGAATAATCTTCTATTAAATGGCCACTTTGTTTCCGCCAATTGCGCTTATCTTCGGTAACTGTTGAGTTTGTAGCCTTTTTAAGTAACTTGTGGACATTTCTTCCTTATCGCTGATTCTTTGCTGACCAACTTGCTTCATATGCTAATTTAGCGAAGAGTTATGCCACCGTATCTGTATGCATTATTGGATTTATTTCATTTTATCTTGTCGTCTAAAGTGAATGGCTGTTGCTTGATATCCCCAGTGTGACTGCGCTTGATGTGTATGTTGACAAGGGGTTTACTATCTATTAACCAGTACCTCGTTCATCCTGGTTTCAGGAGACAGTTGGTTGTTGCTGTAGGGGACGGGGTGCACGGTCCTTGTGGTCGTGCTGGGCTGGAAGAGCGGTTCCATGCACTCGATGTGGAGCGGACTACGGTCCGGCCACCGCCTTGTGTGCGCTTGATTCCCCAAATACAACGTGTTTCTGCTTGCCTGTGAAGGAGTGTCAGCCGGCTCCGTTGATGAAACATGGCTCCCATCCACATGCCTCCCGGTCTTATTCCTTCGGGTTTACACTGGTTATGGTGGTGTGTGGTTTGAGCTGTGGGTGGTGCAGTGCAAGCCATCCATGGTCCCTCTGCAGGCGCAGGCGTTCTGTGGCTGGCCTCAGTGGCAGGCAAATCCAAAATCGGATGCCAAAACCATGTGCCCCATGAAAGAATGACACCATACATTGAACTAGCTTTTAGTTGATTTCACCAAAGCATTTGATACTCTGAAACGCGAGGCACTGAGGCTGGTGTTGGGTAAGTTTGGTTGCCCGCGTAAGTTTGTGAGTTTAATTGAATGTTTACACAGTGATATGCGGCGAGGGTGCAGCTGAGTGGACAGACCTCGGATGACTTACCAGTTGTCTCCGGTGTGAAGCAGCGCTGTTCTTAGCTCCTGCCTTGTGTAATATTTATCTTCATGCAATGATGTATTGTGCTTTTGATGCGGCTTGTGCTTACGGTTTTCGTGTGGACATCGTATTGATGGTGGGTTGCTGTACATTCGTCGTTTCGATGCGAGAACTCTAGCCTGTGAAACAACTATCCCGTATGTTGCTGTTTGCTGACGACTGTGAGTCGTTCGCACACAGCGCGCATGAGTTGCAGCACATGACATGGCTTCGACAGCGGCCAAATTCGGGCTCACCATCAACACAAGCAAAACTGTCTGTCTCTTTCAGCCTTCACCGGAGGTGCAATCTTCAATATTGTCGCGAATCAGCATTGGTGCTGGTATTGGAAACCACCTCCCGCTTCAGCTACCTTGGGAGTGTGATGTCGACTGATCAGCATTTGCACAGTGAGCTGCGTATTCGCATGTCGAAGGCAGCGGCGGCATTCGGGAAGCTTGAGTACCGAGTGTGGAACAACCATCACCCTACCTTTGGCATAAAGCTGATTGTGTACAAATCCATGGTGCTGTTCGTTCTTCTATACGGCAGTGAAACGTGGACGATGTACCGGCGGGATGTGCGATATCTCGATCGGTTCCATCAGCAGTGTTTGCGACGGATTGTGCGCACCGGTTGGTGCGACAGAGCTGCTGACACGGAAGTGTTGCCACAGTGGGATGTATGCAGTTGCCTGCATACTTTCTCTGTGACACCTGAGGTGGCTCGGTCATGTGCACCGTATGGATGTGACGCGGATACCGAAACGGCTGCTGTATGGCCAACTGAGTGCAGGGAAGCGGCCTGTGGGGAAACCGATTTTTTTTTGCCGGGACTTGATCAAAGTGCGCCTCTCACGTTCTAATCTTGATTGCAGGTCATGGGAATCGAAGGTGGTTGATCAGCGTACGTAGCACTATCTGATCTCGAGGCAGTTGCCGAGAGGCAGGATAAAGACCTCATACACGCAGAGAAGAAGCGGCAAGTGCGGATACGGTGCGCGTCGATAGGTTGTGCTTCATCGACATCGAGCACATGATGCTGTAGCACATGCGGTCACGAGTGCTTGAGTCAGGCATGCCTAGGGAACCATGAGCGAGGCTACTCGGTACCACCACCGAAGGGACGACGGGTCCTGCAGAGAACGTAGACAAAACCGGCGCCGCATTCGTAGGTACGCTGCATTCAAGTTACTAACGGCTTGCTTGCATGCTCGGTCACTTTATTTCAGGTGGTCGGTTTTCTATGTCGTCTCGTTATTGCCTACGTGAACTATCTTCTATTAACTTGCATACGTCGCTCAAGTTAATTGTATTTAACTGTGGTAACATTTTCGCGTTTATGGCATTTTCCTAAACCATTTCTTCTGACATCTTGAATTTGTAGCGAATACTTTGGCAACCAGTTTATATTATATACGCATTTATTAAAGAGCTATATCGGTAAGTCTGTATGTACAATTCGATTAATTTTAGCTGATAGTATCGTTTTAAGCGATTGGCTGTTGCTTGATATCTCCAGTGTGACTGCGCTTGATGTGTATGTTGACAAGGTGTTTACTATCTATTAACCAGTACCTCGTTCATCCTGGTTTCAGGAGACAGTTGGTTGTTGCTGTAGGGGACGGGGTGCACGGTCCTTGTGGTCGTGCTGGGCTGGAAGAGCGGTTCCATGCACTCGATGTGGAGCGGACTATGGTCCGGCCACCGCCTTGTGTACGCTTGATTCCCCAAATACAACGTGTTTCTGCTTGCCTGTGAAGGAGTGTCAGCCGGCTCCGTTGATGAAACATGGCTCCCATCCACATGCCTCCCGGTCTTATTCCTTCGGGTTTACACTGGATATGGGTGTGTGGTTGGAGTTGTGGGTGGTGCAGCGCAAGCCACCCATGGTCCCTCTGCAGTCACAGGCGTTCTGTGGCTAGCCACAGTGGCAGGCAAATCCGAAACCGGATGCTGCCAACCATGTATTTTTCGGATGTGTGTCACGAGAGCAGGATAAGTCGGTCACAATACGTGCACGATTGCGAATTCAAACAGGATGTCTTTTACTAATGATTAGACGGCTTTGGATATGGTTTTATTTGGTTTTATCACAATTAGATTACAATCCACAAAGCTGCGCTGCCATTCCGGCAGTGCACCAGATGATTTTTCCCATTATTGAGGTTCGTCGATGGTGCGCATTCCCTTGATCCTCTGCTGGGCTTCGAACCAGTTTCGCCCAGAGCTACTATGAACACGCACATTTGGCTCTGATGGTGACCGGGTAGAGGATACATGAATAGCGTAGGGATTTAGTGATGTAAGTGACTTAAATTTCGCGGTGTCTACCGCCAAAAATACCATCAGCCTTCGTGGAAGATTTGCATTTGTCAATGCACCCATTCATTGAAAACCAGCTACCATAGTTGCAACTTTCAAGGCATTTCATGCAGAGCATCTGATGTGACAGACTAAGAGAACTGCTCTGATAAAATCACGCAGAATGCTACTATTTCCAACATTTCAGATTAGTGCGCTATGAGTCTAAAAATGTCAGCCTGTATTTAGCTCATTAATTCAGATGTGGTGTAAGAGTCTGTGGCTCGCTGAAGCTTGTGGTTGCTAGCTTCTTACAGATCGTCGACTCACTGCTCCCAATGTTGTGTCGTGGACTCATGTCTCGGACGCATTCTCGTAGCGACCGCTGCGTGGGATTTGGGTTACAACTTTTTTCTAGCTAAGAAGCAGAACACAATTTCACATGTCGGTTAACTGACTCATGGCGCGCGGTGCACTGGTGTTCGGGTGTGCACTTTATAGAAGAATTTAGCTGAGGGCACGAGTCGTTCTTCTGTCAGTTGTGGACACCTTGGCAGTATAACGTTCCAACGTCCAAACCATGAATCAAGCCAAGTACAATAAACCCACGCTGAATCGGCCGTCGAGCAGTGGCAGGTGGATCGAAAACGGTCACCTTATCGGCTGCATACAGCGTGGTGGATACGCGAAAACACGGTAGCGACTTCAACCCTCTTCTTCTGCTGCATGTTCACTCCCCTCCCCCATTGCAACTAACCTCTTACTTCTTCCAATCCAGATCACTACACGAGTGATTGTCTATACGACGGTATGCCTTCCGGCAAAGCACTCAAGATTAGGTGTTGGAACGTGTAAATACCACTAGAATGGAACACGAATGAGCGTCCCGAGTGACGAACGGCACTGGTCGCGGTGGTACCCGCGCGCTTTGAGACCGATATTGCAGCACTTTTTGCGGCATAGCTCGC